TTCTCGGGCTTGGGACCTCAGAATTTGATTCCGAGCACACGCCCAAGTCCCATATTTTTCTACAGACCCTCCGGGACCGTCGAATCACAGGTCCCGGTCCGTTTACCCAAAATGTTGACCGAAGTCAACATTATGCATATTAATACCAAAATTCATCAAATGTTTCACATAATTCACATATTCTAACATAAAAACTTTCCGGTTATGCGCCCGAACTGCGTACGCCAATCGAGGCAACTAAAAGCGAGGTTTTCAAGGCCTCGAAAGCGCGGAACAAGGAAGAACTACGGTGATGACCCTTCGGGTCGTCACAGTAGTGCATTTAATAAAGAAAATATCTTCTTCATTAGATTAAAACGCAATTTGTGCAAATTACATAATAGAAATTAAAGAGCTATCTTAGCTAGCAGAAATTAATATGTTGATCAACTAAATAAAACGTTGATTGCTAAGTTTTATGGTAAAAACAAAATATTTTTTTAGTTTTGACTCAACAGAAGATGATACCAACAATAACTACCAAGAAGAATATTTAAATACTTTAATACCAATTGGACTTCTATTGTACATATTTGTTGTCAAGTTTATTATTTCCTACGTATGTTAGTGTCACTATATATATATATATATATATATATAATAGACTAAGTTAAAATTGATCTTCCATTTAATATAAGTTTATGCCCGTCATGCTAATGAAAAATTAGATTCGCTAAATAACTTATGTAATAATACACATATAGTATATAGAAGTCTTGACAATAACGTCACACATGCAGAACTTATGATATTGGTCAATGTGCGTCTAAGTATACGTTTATCCCCAAAATCAACGTTCGTCTTCCGTAACTAAAGAATATCCTTTTGAATTTGTGTGAAAATAATTTTCAGTATGTTTATGTTTTGTAGTTATAATAAACAAAGCACAAGGACAGGCATCCTAAATATTGAACTATATTTATCACAATATGTTTTCTTACACGAATATTATATGTTGCATTTTTCAAGAGAGGTATCAACATCGACAACAAGTGTTCTGGTTTTAGAAGGAAACATATACAAAAAAATACCGTCTATAAAGAAGTGTTCGGTAAGATACCATCACATTAGATACATTTATATTACAATACATAATTATTTACTTAACATGACTAAAACTGATCATTTATGTAAGTCCCGATGATATCCTTTCATTTTGAATTCACGTATTATGCTAATGTAACAATATTTTTTGGCATTTAAATTATTGTTGTAGTATTACATATAAATTTTCTCTCATTAATTAAATTTTATTATTTTTCATATAAGTAAATATTTAAACCATCATGTGCCATTATTAACGTGCAACGCACGTTTATAGATACTAGTAATATTAAATGACGGTTTAAATAGTGCAATTTTACCTTGTATCATGAAATTTTGAGATTACGTGTTTTTTCCAATGTAGGTTTGTAATTGGTAAAATAAATGTATATTTACCATCTTCAAATTGATTTCTCGGTCACTTCAGTATTTATTTGAATATAAACTATACTTTAAATATATAATTCTTCAATACTATCAAATTTTCTATCTTTATACTGATGTTAGGTTTTCTATTTATAATTTCGCTTGAATAGATTTTTCTTTGAAAATTTGTCCAAACATGTTTGTATCATTGTTGTTTTTGACAAAAAAAGTATCCTATTCCGAAGAAGGTTTGTTTTTTTTATTTAAAAAAGGGTGCGTCGATATATTCTTTCCCTATGAATAATCCAAACAAACATCATGGCCCTATGTAACTCATAATAGGTGCAAAAAAGAACGTCACTTTCTTTCTATCTATGAGATCTAACTTGTCATGTAAATGAAAGCGAGCCGGTGAGGGCAAGTTCGCCAAATACCACAAACCCCCAGAGTAGTATAATTAAGTTAGACTAACAAAATTGTCTAAATATAGGTTTGCGCTTAATGTAACTCAGCTTCTTTTTGGGAAACAAAACTAGATATATATGGGCTAACATGTCTCCAGTGTCCGAGATGTAGATGATGCTCTTTGCCCTTTATTCTACTTTTGTCCTCTCTCTCTCTCCCATAAGCAAGTCCAAATAGTTTCAACTAATTTTTCTTTTTTCTGCTTATAATTTTTTCCCTTAAGCTGCGCCTCCTTTTTCTCTGTCTTTGTCTGAGTTTTCTTGGTATGAACTCATGCTCTGTGAAACTTTCATAGGGTGGTGGTTTTTAAAGTATGGATTTTGGTGGGGTGATGACAATGGAAACCAAACAAGAATCTGCTAATAACATTTCAAAAACAGTCAACTCTCCAGCTGAGACTAACAACTCCTCAAAGATCACTAATGGATCTGGGCAGCAACTGAAACAAGAGAGATCTGGGCCTTGTGATGACACTAATTGTAGGTCATCTAAAGTCCAAAGAGCAGCAGCAGATGACTTCTCTGCCCTTTGTAAGCAGATGCCCCAACAGCAAGGTCCTACTACTCCCACTTTGTTCATGAGATCTGGTTCCCCAAATAATGGACGTGGTCACTCCACTATGCTCAGTTTTTCATCTCCTAAATCTGAAGAATTAATCCCTTTTCTTTCTACTAATAATGCTTCTGCGCAGGACTCATCTAAGAGTCTTGCTTTCCCATTGTTTGACTCTGGATCCCACTATAGCAGAGCTTCAGGTATCAGAAATGTTATGTACTAAATAATTTTTTAAAGTTCTTTGGTTGCTTGATTGTGTTTAGATAATGACTGCACATAAGGGGATTTTGGAGATTTGGATGCTAATGACGTGGATTTGCAAAAGATCTGCTTTTAATCACGTTTAGCTGTTTTATTTCCTGTACAGAAGATGGGTCTTTTCAAAGAAATACTGTAGATGTTAGAAAAGAGGTATTCTATACATTCTGATGGTCTTGTCAATAGAAGAAAAACACAAAAAGGAAAAAAAGTAGTTGGAACTTGTGAAGAATCTTTGTCAATGATATCCTATACTGGGTGGAAAATCTGGTAATTTCATGCACATATTGGGTAAATCTGAAACATGATTTAAGGAATGTAAAAACTAAAGGGTGCAATAAAGTAGGTGCACGAAGGAAAAAAAGGGAAAGAGAAAAAGAAAGAAAAGATCAGACTTTTTGATATTTGAGTCTCAGATATTTATGAAGTTCAGTCAACCTTATGTGCCTTTTGTTAATTGATCTTTCTGTTTCCTTATCTTTTGATCTGTTATTCACTATACTGTGCAAGTTCTCCTATTGATTTTGTTCAACAAGTTTACTTTCTTAGCTTGTGCTTTTTCTTGGTTCAGCTTATGCCTCTGGAGGTTCAAACGAAAGCACGCGTGGCGCTTTTGTTGCGAGGTTCAGAGGTCTATTTACTCCATCTCAGTGGATGGAATTGGAACATCAGGCTTTGATCTATAAGCACCTTGTGGCAAATGTACCAGTCCCTCACCAGTTGCTCATTCCTCTTAAGAAGTCTCTCAACCCTTATGCATTTTCTGGCTTGTCCTCTGGATCTTATGCCTCCAATTGTAAGAATTTCACTTTTGCTTACCATGTATTTTCACTCTGATCCACATATAAGAGTCCTAATAGATTATTGGTTTTGAGTATAAAACTGTGCATAACTGATACATGCATAATTACGTGAGAATCTATGTGTTATTTTATAAGATTATGTGCATAAGATAAAACTAAGTGTTGCCTTTGGTATCACGATCTCTGCATTGCAATCACTACATATATTCATTGCATAGATATCCATGTATCATTATTCACTGAATCACAGTACATATATTACTATCTCTGCATGGCAAGTCTGCTCCAAATGACTCTTCGGAGCCTAAAACCTTGTTGCTTGTTTGGCTCAGGATTTTGTTGTGGAGTTGCCAATATCTCTCAAACAATTGGAACCTTTAAACTTTTATTGGATTCTCTAAGGATTTTCACTCAGTACTAATCCAGTTCTATTAATTAATCCTCCGTAACTACTTAAGTATCTCTGTACCTGAATTTGGGATTCTCTTGCTATATTATGTGGCATCTTTTTGCACATTGGTTTCACTTATAATATACCCTTTTTGATCTATGATACACACTGTGTTTAAGAGCATGAAGAACATTCTAAAATGAGTTGTTTTCTATCAATACTTATTTGTTTGCTTGTCTCTTTTTCTTTTCAACTATAAATAATCAAACTTATGGCCTATGATAACTAATTTCTCAGCTTTTAATTACTTATAAATTTCTGAGTTTAGTTTCTCTACCATTTGTGCACATATTTGTTGAGGGTCCTCACACTCTAGGTGATTTACATACATGTTTTCTAGGAAATGTACATAAGATCTTTTAATTTTTGAAGGGTTAGAGGATACTGGTGCATTGTAAGGGTTGACACTTTGTCATAGTTTTTTTGACTTTCTTTCCCTAAAGTCGTTTATCAATTATTCAGTCTCGTACATTTTCTTTTCTGTTCTTTCTCTTGCTTTTCTTTTTGTTCATCTTTTCCCTACTTTGTGGTACCTGTAGGGGGATGGGGTACTTTCCATCTTGGTTTCACTGGCAACACCGATCCAGAGCCTGGTAGGTGTCGTCGAACAGATGGAAAGAAATGGCGGTGCTCACGAGAAGCTGTCCCTGATCAGAAGTACTGTGAAAGGCACATAAACAGAGGCCGCCATCGTTCAAGAAAGCCTGTGGAAGGTCAGAATGGCCATGCTGTCTCTGGATCCACCACTTCAAAGGTGGCATCAGTCGCACCCTCCTCATCAGCGACGGTGATATCCAGCAGCGGCACATCCAACAGCCTGGGTGCTGTTCAGCACCAGTTCAATAGCTTGCAGCCCAGTGCTGCCAATCCTTCCACGGACCAGCTTGTCAACAGGTACTAAATATATTTAAGTACTGATGGCTAATTGATATGCACATTTAATGCTTTCTCCTTGACAGAGATACCTTTATTTTCTCTTAGGTGTTAAACCTAAATTTGAAATTTCTTCTCTAGGAGGATTTTAACAAGGAAAAAAGGGTTGTCAGCTTGTCATCTAGACCTGCAGGGAATAAGAGGAAAAAGGAACTAGAAATGCATAACATATTTATTATTCTTTGGTCCTAATTAGTAAGTATATAAATGACAGAATCCTGACTAAAAAAAGTATGCATATGACAGAATGCAAGATCATAAAGGTGTCTCTATGATATCTCCAACAATTGGTTTGAAGCCCAAGGCCTCGGCTATTTCAATTCAGAAGCAACATAATGGATTTGAACTATCCTCGCTGTCAGAGTTTGGACTTGTCTCGTCAGATTCTCTTCTTAATCCTTCGCAAAGAAGTTCCTTTGTGAATCCTAAGAATTCCAATGCTTTCATAGATTTCAATGACCAAGAACAAAGTGAACAACATCCAGTTCACCATTTCATTGATGGCTGGACCAAGGAACAGTCTTCACGTGCCTCTGCATCTTGGCCCGATGAACTCAAATCAGACTGGACCCAACTGTCCATGGCCATTCCCATGGCTGCCTCAGATTTCTCATCATCATCGAATTCTCCTCGTCAAGAGAAACTCACTCTTTCTCCCTTAAGGTTATCTCGTGATTTTGACCCGATTCAAATGGGCTTGGGAGTAACAAATAGCCACGGTGAACCTATGCAAAAGACAGCTAATTGGTTACCAGTATCCTGGGAAAATGCCCTTGGTGGTCCACTAGGTGAGGTCCTGAATAGTACTGCAGGTAACGCAGGAGATGCCAAGAACTCTTCAGCTCTGAACCTGGCAACAGAGATGTGGGATAGCAGCCCTCCATTTGGATCATCTCCTACGGGCGTCCTGCAGAAGTCAACCTTTGTTTCGCTCTCAAACAGCAGCTCAGGAGGTAGTCCCCGAGCTGACAGCAAGAAGGTTCATGAGGGTGCTGGCATGTGCGATGAGGTGATCGGTTCAACTCTGGCGAGTTCATTGTGTATTCCCTCGATGTAAGTCCTGTGTTTGTTTTATAAAAGACACTGGCAGATATTACCTTGATGGTAATTTCTCTTGTTTGCTGTTTCTCTTGTCTTGCTCTGCATGTTTATGAAAGCAGATATTTTCGACAAGTATGTGTTGTTGTAACTTTAACAGACATTTGATGTGATCTTATCCTTCCAGAGAACTCAATGTATTTGTTATTGTTCCTTTTTTTTTCCTTCTGTAAACGAACGTGGAACTTTCGTTTGCTTGAGCTTTTCTTTATCTGATGGTCACATTTAAAATTGCAGTTTGCACTTTTAAAGTTGTGATTTGCTGGCTGTTTTGGGGCGTCTTAATTAGTTTATACTGCATAACAGATAAGATATTGCCGGTTGATTTATCGCCATCCCCCTTACGAAAAAAAGAGAAAAGAAAAGAAGGATCGTAAAATCATTTTAATGCCCGCTTCCTTGTAGAGAGAACAATAGGTCCCCCATAACTTTGCTACTATGTCGGTAACACCAGAGAACACAGTTTTTGAGTTGGGATTGGAGGTAGATAAATGGGTTGTTCATTTCTTGTTGCAGCTTAAATGACTTCGTCTATCCTATCATGTGACCAAACAACCGATATTCTTGAAACTGCAAGGTTTTGGTGGGATCGTTTTTAACTGATCCAGCCAGTGTCGTTCACTTCTGGTGTGTATATTTTGAATCTAAAATCAAAGGTGACATCAAATTCTTAAGGAACTACATCGTTATGACCGCAACACTTTCTTCACTGTAATTTCACAACACTTTCTTCACTGTAATTTTCACCAGCTCTTGGAGTTGCACAGTTATTGAGGGCCTCATAATTAGTTACTCCAATCACTAGCTATTCCCTTTGAACTCAAAAAGTTTTGGCACACGCGTTATGTCATGGGCGGCTTTCCAGTCATGCCCCATGACCCCTTGGACGCGTCCCATTGCGTCCTGTCAAGCCTCCCAACGCCTAGTGCCATGGACGGCCCCGTGGTCTTGGCCGCGCCAAGTGAGAAGCGCGCCTGTGCCTATGTCGCCTCACTGATAGCCCTCAGCCGCAGACAGATGCCAACCGCGCCGCACGCGCAGACTCTGATACTAAAGACAAGGTTGCTGCCAACGTACCTGCTTCTACTTTGTAGGAATCTAAGTCATTTCTATTGTAAATTTAGAGTAGTTTTACTTCATGTATTTCCATTATGTCTCTCTAGCTTAGTTATGTCTAGTCCTGTAACTTTGGTTTATTTTTTTTAAGTACTATTAGGGGGATCAAGCGATCAAACTTTCTAGCAAGCAAACAATTCTCTGTACTGGTGTCTCTCCCCCTCGACACCGTGTTGCTTTTCTGTAATAACTTTCATTAATGCAATCAAGCTTTCTTTCATTCTCATTTCTCTTTTCTGTTCTCTCAATTGCTCTTGACATTGGTTTTCCCGTACGGCACAGACAATTTCGTCTAGCGTACGGAGGGGACCCTAGTTGGCGGATAGTAAGTACACGGACATCGGTTGCTTAGCTTTACGTCGCCCTTCCAAGGAATCTCAGGAACGTAACAGTTGGTATCAGAGCCTAGGCTCGACATAGGACGAGGGAACACATTGCCATTATCACCATTTCTGACCATGATGAATCATGGGGATCGCATTGCGGCCCTTGAAGAGACGGTTGATGTATTACGACCCATCGTGAATACGGTGCCTGATCTAAGAACCAACCTAGTACAAAGGTTGGACGACCTGGAACGCAGGATGCGACATGCCGAAGGTGACATTGCAAACATCAGTCGCGACTCTGAAGGAGACCGACAAACGGAAGGCAAAGAGGCAGCCGAAAATTTTGGCAAATTCGAGGGCCTCCAACAGGAGTGTACCGAGGTTTTAGCCTATAGGGTATAAGAGGCAAACAGTGTGGCTCCCATGCAGCAAACCATAGACAACTTGACTGGTCAGCTCAATATTGTCAATGCTGCACTACAAGGCCTACTTCGAGGAGGTGGAAACCAGATCATGGGTGCTGTGAATCTCGCCCCTGTGCCACAAAAGCTGAAGATTCTTGAGCCAAAGTCGTACAATGGGGCTCGGAATGCCACAGAAGTGGAGAACTCATCTTCGACATCGAACAATACTTCGATGCCGTGGGGGGAGTTAGAAGAAGCCAAAAAGGTAGCAACTGCTGCCACGTATCTTCAGGGTGATGCTAAACTTTGGTGGCGGGTGAAATACGAAGCCATCAGGGACGGTGAAGATACTCTCGAGACATGGGCAAAACTGAAGGCAGCCATACACCTACAGTTCTTCCCCAAAAATGTGGAATACAATGCACGGAGAAAGCTATAGGAGCTCCTCCAAACCAAGTTAGTGCGGGAATTCTCCGCGCTCATGCTGAACATACGTGATATGGGGGACAAAGACAAACTCTTCACATTCTTGGAAGGGTTTAAACCTTATGCCCGTATGGACCTGCAAAGACAAAGGGTAGACACTTTACCCAAGGTGATCCAAGCAGCGGAATGCCTTAGGGACTATCAAGTGGAAGCTCGGAAGTATAGGCCTCAGCCGCTTGTCCGAGGGGGATACAAAGGGGGCCAGCCTAGCAATGGTGGCCCTAGAAGAAGTGGAGGAGATCGGAGTGCAACCAAATCTAAGGCCCTTTCCTCAAGCAGCAACAGTGTTGCATCTAATAACAACGATCGGGGGAGGAAGCCCCCTTCAGGATGCCGTCATTGCGGCGGGCCACATTGGAACAATGAATGCCCACATGTACAGATGAATGCCCATCAAACCTTTGATGATGGGATGGCTGATGACACAGATGACACTGACCAGACAGAACCAATAGGTGCCTTCAATGTACTTGTTGTTATATTTCTGAAGCTTTAGCAGGAACCAGTGCCAGTATCCGTAAGAAGAAGGACCCCTGACCAACCACAAAGAAAGGGAAAAAGAAGGTGGATGAGGGGTCTCCTCTTAATCAAGAGAAGACCTTGATGTTCGTCGAGATGAAAGTTAATGGCAAGCCCATTCGGGAGATGATAGACACGGGCGCTACTCACAACTACTTAGCCTCAACCCAAGTAGAGCGCCTTGGTCTAGTTGTGGGAAAGGGTAGAGGTCGTGTCAAGGCTATCAACTCACCACCTCATCCATTGGGTGGAATAGCCAAAGGAGTGCTAGTGAAACTTGGTCCTTATGAAGGAAAATTCAACTTGCGTGTGGTGATCATAGATGACTTCGAGCTGATAGTTGGGTTGGAATTCATGCGGCAAACCAACACCATTCATGTTCCTTATGTCGATATGCTACTCATGATGGGAGCAAATGGGGCCAAGCCCTGCATTTGAAGAAGGGAGTCAAAAGATGGCCGCTGAGAACATCTTGGACCTGCAGTTGAAGAAGGGAGTCAAAAGACATAAACCTACGTTCCTGGCTACCTTCTGCATTGAAGATATAGAACGCTCTTCGGGTCCCATTCCTGCACCCGTGAAAGAGCTGGTAAAGGAGTTTGAAGACGTTATGCCACAATGCCATGGCGACTCCCGCCTAGGCGCACTGTGGACCATGAGATTGAGTTAGTGTCGGGTGTGAAGCCACCTGCCCGGGCGCCTTACAGAATATCACAACCCGAACTCACCGAGCTTCGTAGACAGTTGACGAAAATGCTAGACACGGGGATCATTGTGCCCTCCAAGTCCCCTTATGGGTCCTCTGTGCTATTCCAAAAGAAACAGGATGGCACCCTACGACTGTGTGTGGATTATCGGGCCCTAAACAAAATCACTGTGAAGAACAAGTACCCTATCCCGCTAATGGAAGACTTGTTCGATAGATTGGGTGTTGCTACAGTGTTCACCAAAAACACTAAAATAGACCTGAAGATAGGTTACTGGCAAGTCCGAATTGCTGAGGAGGAGGAACACAAGACGACCTGTGTGACAAGATATGGGTCGTATGACTTCCTGGTCATGCCATTCGGCCTGACTAATGCTCTAGCCACATTTTGCACCTTGATGAACCAAGTCTTCCGAGAGTATATTGACGAGTTCGTAGTGGTTTACTTGGACGACATTGTGATATATGACAAAACATTGGAGGAACACCTGGAGCACCTGCGGAAGGTCCTAGCCCGACTGCGGGAGCACGAATTATATATGAAGCTATCCAAGTGCGCATTCGCCCAAAAGTAGATTGACTTCCTCGGACATGTCATCGAGGAAGGGCGGATAAAGATGGACCAACAAAAGATTCAAGTTGTCACAGATTGGTCGCCGCCTAAGGATATCCACGCCTTGAGGGCGTTCCTTGGCCTATACAACTTTTATCGGTGATTTGTGAAGAATTACTGTCTCATTGCATTGTCGTTGACTGAACTCTTAAAGAAAGTCATGCCTTATGATTGGGGTCCCAAGCGAGCGGAGGCCTTCCTGATTTGGCCATGTCTAGTAGCCCTTCCTGATTTGGCCAAGCCATTCAAAGTACAGATGAATGCCTCTCACTATGCTCTGGAGTTTTGCTACAAGAGGGGCATCCCGTGGCGTACGATAGCCTGAAGTTGAAGGATGCAGAACGACGCTATGCCTCCCACGAAAAAGAGTTATTGTTTGTCGTCAATTACTTACGCCTTCGGAGGCACTATCTACTGGGAACCTCGTTCGTGGTCAAGACAGACAACATAGATGTTAGCCATTTCATGACCCATCCAAAGCTGAATGGCCGACAGGCCAGGTGGCAGGAACTCCTAGCGGAATTTCACTTCGACCTGGAATACCGAAATGGGAAGACCAACCAAGTTGCTAATGCGCTCAGTCGAAGGACTAACTTAGTATTGGTGTGCCTACTCGCCACTCTAAGGGGGAGTGAAGTGGCCACCACTATAAGAGACCAGATATAAGATCTACTCCCAAAGGATCCTGCTGCATGGTATTTGGTTGATTTGGTAGGATAGGGCAAAACTCGCCAGTTCTACATGGAAGATGGGCTCCTGAAGGTGAAAGGGAACCGACTTTATGTTCCTAAAGGAGGAGATCTGCGGAGGACTCTTCTGATGGAATGCCATTATACTTTATGGGTTGGCCATCCAGGTGAAGAACACATCATGGCGTTGTTGCGTTGTGCTTATTATTGGCCTCAAATGGCTGATGATGTTGCTCAATATGTGAAGACTTTCCTAGTATGCCAGAAAGACAAGTCAGACCGCTTGACACAAGCGGGTCTTTTGGATCAATTGCCTGTTCCAAAAAGACCTTGGG